CCAACAGAGAATTGAACAAACTTTATAGAACACCCGATATCTCGGTCCTCGGATATAAAACTATTATGGAACTACCTTGATCATCCTTGATGAGCTCTACCCACCGTTAACATTTTTCGGTTTCTCAATGGGATGTAATCTTGTGTAATTTTTATATTTTTCTTATAATAATTGATGGAATCGCCAGGGAATGAAATTCATCTCGTCTTTTACTAGATACAATGGCAAAATTTTCGCCCTGAATTCTGGATTTGCCCCTCGTGCCCTGTGGTTGATTCGCCCCAGTGTGTCAGCTACATGAAAGGAATTGTACAATGAATTGATCTGATGGAATTCAAAATGAGAAGTCATCTACTATACCAACTTCCTCTAAGGGTATAAGTGTTAGTATAAGTAAGTATCGATTTAGTATCTCAATTATATGAATCCATACAATTCTTGTTCACTTGTTCACGAACAACTAAATATTGACAGAGATCAGTGATTAGTTATATTCGGCCTATTGGAAATCTAAATGTACTATCTAGTAGTTAATTTTCTAACAGAACAGCCGTGATGATTAGTGCATGCATGAAGGGCTCAATCTCGCGATCACATTGTCTTTTTGCCGAGCTGTTTGCCTTCCTCTTTCGATTTTTCAGATATAGTTTTCATTTTGAAATCTTGTCATTTCTCATTGGAATTCCTTCTGCAATAGGAGCTTATAGAAATACTCGTGAAGTTTCTAGAAGAAAGCAAGAATTTCATAATGGAAACTATAAGTGGGATCACTATTTCTCTTGCACATGGCAATCAATCCTTATTCTTCTATCCAAATCGTTTAGAATAGTAGGTTTCGTTTAAAGGAGAATGGATTCCAAATTACTCTAAAGAAAGAAATCATTGGGTGCCGACAAGCGTGCTGACCATTCAATTAGTCCTCTATGACATTTATTCGTGAAATTTTGGTATAGCCATTCTTTTATGGATCTCGCTAATGATAATCGGAATCTATTAGCAGATGATATTCATTTTCAAGATAGTGCGCCCCCTGATTAATGGTTATCCCAAAATTACCCAATTGGATAGATCGCTCGTCGAACATGGCACCCAATGACTGTTTTCTTTGGGATCATTGGAATGTATTATTTATAAAATGGAATCTACTGATCAGGACGATTTTGAAAGAAACATTTCGAAATGTGCAAGAGTCAATAGAGGATATTTTGAAAATGTGTTGTGGATAACCATTCAATACTTGAATCTGTAAATTCATTTACTCATAAATCGGAAAACATACCATTTGAACTCGAATATCTCGAAAACGAATTGTTGCAATTCAAAAAACATTGCACTGCTAGTATCAGAATTAAACTAAACTGATGTATAACATGAGAATTATTCTAATCTATTAAAATTATGGAGGAGGTTGCTCTGGGCAGTAAAGTACTTTGCGTCAAACGGTGTCCCTACTAAAAAAAAACAACTTGTTTTGTTGATTTTTTGAGAAATTAATTTTCTGTAATTTATCGAGGGCGAATAGTCTTAAGTGGACCACCCGGTATATCTACTGTCATTCATTGCTAACCACTTGAATCCTATCATTTCCTGACTTTTTGAATGCTTATTTGGGTAGGTGCTGATTTTCAACCTCAACTTATATTGAAGGAAATAAGGTTCTGACTCTGCTCTGCCAGATTCATTATTCAACTGAGGAGAATGAAATATTTCTACCTGTCATTGTGGTAGGAGGTAGAAAATAACTCCTTCATGAGTTGAAAAGTAGTGAATAGAAATTTTTTCATAATTAATAGGCTCTTTCAACAAACCGAATTTTGAAATTTTGAATGGAACTAGGGTAGTTCTCCCTACTCCCATCAATACATCATTCCTAATTCCTTTCCATTACGAATACATTGATGCATAGTTTATTTATAAGTATGTTGATATTTGACAGATTTATTGACTGAATTTCTAACTGTAATACCCACTCATATTGAACTTCTGGTCTACCAAACAACATTATTATTTTTTTTGCTTTGTCGATGATCAGTTAACCAAAAAGAAAACTGCATAGAATGAAGAAAGCTGAAGCTGATTAAAAACCAGTTTTACTCAATATATCGCTCGAAATTATTCCCTTCAACTTCTAATCAATAATACAGTCGAATATTATAGTAGAGGTAACAGGAACTCTCTGACGCAGCACCATTAGTGTTTCTGACTGTGTCACGTGCACTTCAGATATCAAATGATTCTACGGAAAAAAGCTCAGAGGCATTAGATCAGGTAATCTTGGCGGCCATTCGACAGGACCTCCTTCAGCAATCCGATGCCAATAACTCTTCCAGTCGCTCCGCTTCTGATAAAATCATGGTCTTTGTTATGGACCATGTGACCATATGGTCACATTATTTTCAAAAGGGTTTATTCTTGATTTCCCGAAGTTCTTCGATTCATAGGCAAGGAAACTATTTGATAACAAACAAGCTTAGAAACAAATCATTTCGCGGTATCTTCGGCTGGCAGTTCAACTTTTTATGAGTCAATTTTTCAGGTTGAGTTGCGTACATGCGTAAATGTTGATGTTTAGAAGTGTTGAGTTCGTTTGTTTCCATTGGAATTTTGGTGTTGGCTCCTTTTATAAATCTGTTATGGTGTATTGTTTTTTGTTAACCTGTATATTAATTTCAATGGAACAATCTTTTGACTTTGACCTCAGGTCTCAGACGGATCACACAATTCCGATATGATGTGGATAATTTTTTTTTATGTTCTGGTTCTCACGAAAAGGAATATCCTGTAATGTTCAGAGAACATCGTGAGAACCAAGGGAAATAAGGTAGGAATTGGTGTTCTTCTTGAATTTCTGGAGGTTATATGCCTCGGGGAACACCACCCTTGGCAATGTGTTCCAGAGCCTCGCTGTTCGTTGGATGAACGATGTTCTGCAGGTCTCCAAAGTGACCACTAAGGTATGCGAAGTTTCAACTCGACGGGTTAATCTCGCGGGGACTACCAATAAGGAAAGAACAATTGTTGATATTTCAGAAGAGTAAAGAGGTAAAGAGAGGTAAAGGAAACACTGTCATCAAACAATTTTTGAAGAAATGTATTTTTATTTTTGAATTATCAACAATTGTACCTCCCTTGGCAGTCCCCGCGAGATTAACCCGTCGAGTTGAGGCTTCGCACCCCTTCGTTGTCACTTTGGAGACCTGCAGAACATCTCTTTCCAAAGACTCCTTAATCCAACGAACAGCGAGGCTCTGGAACACATTGCCAAGGGAGGTGTTCCTCGAGTCATATAACCTCCAAAAATTTAGGAAGAACACCAATTCCTTCCTTATTTCCCTTGGTTCTCACGATGTTCTCTGAACATTACAGGATAACCCTTTTCGTGGGAACCAGAACATAAAAAAAATTATAAAAATGTGATTTTGGTTGTTTTACTGAAATATATAAACATTTGGTAACAATTTGTAAAATCGTAACAGATATGAATATCAACATAGAACTACTGTAATTATCAAACGACACAGATGCAGAATATGCTGTGAAAGTAAAGTAATTTTGTTAGGCAATGTTGATGTCTTGGCCGATATAGGGTATGAAAAATTGTATAGCCATATGGTCACTCAAACCGATTCTGATTTTCTGAACCACTACCTCTAGAACCTACCATTATTCATTCCTTTTCAAGGCGCAATGTGTGCTTTCACTACCAAGCCAGTTTTCGTCATTTTATGAACCACTAGTCAATGAAGACATAGCGACCTCTGATATTACTAACCCGAATTCACTGTTCTGATGTCATATATGCTGTCATGATCATGATGGCTACTAGATTGATTGATTGTCTTTATTACCCCAAGAAACATTATTGTTTATAATAGGGATATATACAATAAAACATACATATTATAAAACATAATAAATCGAAACAATAATAATTGCACAATTATTGTTTTTCCTAAAAAAAAAAAGAATTATAATGAAATATAAAATGAAAATATCATAATCCATTACAAGTAATCAAATTGTGAATGATTAGTACTATTAGTAGATGGAATTAAAGTTTACTGAGCAGATATTTCTTTGATTTCCTTTTAAATTTTTCTGCTTCTTCTATATTTTTTAACTCATTAGGCAAGGAGTTATACAAAATTATTCCATTATGGAATATTGATTGTTTACCAAAATTTGACTTATAATTATTTGCTATCAATAAATTGAATTGCCTTGTTTCATGGGCGTGAATCGTATTAACTTCATTAAAATTCAAATTCGATATTTTCAATTCCTTCCTGACAAAATGAATAAAACAACAAATTTTGAGTTTATATAATGAAACTAGATTCAGCAAGTCTTTAGGTTTGTATAGATTCGCAGTTGATCCTAAAAAAGGTAAATTGAAAATGCACTTTATTGTTTTATTTTGTAATTTCATGAGTGGCTTCAAACGTGAAATATTTGTACTTCTAATCAGAATTGAAAAGAAGTGCCTCCATAGTGACAATAGGTGCATATTTCAGTTTCACAGAACTATAGTGAGTATAGTGATTGAAATATCATGTTGGTGGTGTAAAAATGTAATATAGACCTTGATAGTAAAGAATAATATTACAACGGGATCTTATCTTGGTCCCTAGGTAATACTGATATTCTTTACTACCTTGGTGTATAAACCAATTCCCAAAAACGAGATATTTAGTATGAAAAATGCTTTGAAATGATATGCATTAATTATCTTTTTGTGATATGTGATGGAAATAGGGTAGTTCCATTCGGAATTGCTACAGGGGTTAGGTGAATGAAGATATTGAGCTGGCTTGACTATAAAATATGATCCAACCAAGAATGTTTGGTGGAGTGGAGTTTTCTTTGAAAGATCCTGTAGACAGATTATCTCTGACGGAACAGATTACTCCACCATCCGCAGCGTCGTATAAGTGAACGTACTCAATGAAGAACTAGCGGAGCCTGAGTGGCTTAAGTTTAAGTGACTTAGCGAGTACTCGGTCAGTTCCGCGAAGGTGCTGAGTCGGTCTGTTGCGTACGCGAAAGACAAAAAAGAATCGGTAACCTTTCGCGAGATTTGTTGTGATTGCATACGATTAAGTGTTATTGGTTTATTGGATAATTTCTTGTTTTCTATCGGTAAGTCATGATGGTGGTACTACATTTATTTGTATCTACGATGTTATTTGTACAACGGTCAATTATATCGCAGATGCAAAGAATTTCTAAACTGATAGGTATATATTCATTTAGGTATTTGATCAATGAAATTATTAGTACTTATTATTCCGATACACTTGTACAGTATAGTAAGGACAAATCAAAACATTTGCCTCGATTTGCCCCATATATTATATCAATCATAGAATATATTATTATATATGTATATTGTCATGAATGATAATGAACAGAATGGACAATCTAGCTATCGATTTCAGTTATTCATTTCAAGAATGTATCGATCTGACATTGCATATTGGATTTGGAACTAATGAATATTCAAGAAGATTATGGTGTCAATATAGAAAATAGTTTAACAAGCACGGAATAATAGTAGTTCCCCATGAAAATGAAGTTTGCAGCATAAGCCGTATATAGGCGAATGCTGCAATCATTCAAGTGGGAAATTAGCATTCCGTGCGAGTTATACACTATAATTTTTCTACGGCTGTAACAGCGACATTTTTGATTTCTTCGTCTTGTAGCCATCTGATTTTCTCTCAAGGAATGCTCATCTAATAGACAGAGCTGTCTTTGCTTAAAATTTGACAGTCCATGGACGAGGAGTTTTTTTCAAATAATGACACTATGCAGTCATTGTTACATTTGATACGGAAATAAAATTGATAACATACAAAGTACCTCATTGATATATCGAACACAGTAAAACAAGAGCAATTTTGTGCTATAGCCGGATATATACATATACAGGGTGATCCACGGTGGATGGCCTATTAGAAGTATCTGTTGAATGAAAAGACAGAACATTATGAAAATTGGGATGCTCTGATTATTGAACATTCTCTATCCGTCTGAAATATTTTCATCGATACAGTGTTGTCACTTCTATCAGAAACAACTAGCGACTTCGTTATTTCAAATGGAGCACCCTGTATTTCATTGGATTTTTAGATTCTTCCTGAAGAGCTGATTTCATCGATGTCGCACTTGGGGTCTAGCAGGAATGATTACATAGATATAAGGTGTTCAAAATCGAGATTTTTCAATTATCTCATCAACTTTCGATTCACTATCTACTCACATTTAATTGGAACAGATACATGGTGATCAGAATTCTGAATCTTGAAGCACCTTGTATTTTTTAAAATTAAATTCCAGTAGATAGAGACATGTGAGTTGTTTTGATCGATAATGAATAGTTTTGACACAAAAAAATCATAACATTGAAAAATCTTAATTTTGAACACCCTATATCTCTGTAATTATTCCTGCTAGACCCCAAGTATGATGCATTGTTGAAATCAGCACTTCAAGAAGAATCTACAAATGCAATAAAATACAAGGTGTTCTATTCGAAATAACAAAGTTGCTAGTTGTCTCTGATAGAAGTGGCAACACTGTATCGATACAAATATTTTAGGCGGATAGAGAATGTTCAATTATCGAAGCATCCCAATTATCAGAATGTTCTGTCTCTTCGTTCTCCAGATACTTCTAATAGACCATCCACCGTGGATTACCATGTATATCTAATTATGGTTTCGTTTTAAAATTTCTGAGATGTTGACACTTCCATGAATTGATTACTACCAGTCATTCAAGTGCCACAACAGCTACAAATTCCATTTTTAGAGATTCTTATTTTTATGAAGCAGCTCTGAATAAGTCATGGCTTTTGATTACAATCATCTTAGACATGACGTTGATTTTTGGGACACCCTGTATACCACGGCGAGTTAACCTTGCGAGAGGAGTTGCCTCGAATGTTGTGTATCTATCACTTCAGATTCGGTGTATAAATATACTCGCAATTTCCCTGTACAATAATGTTTCCGCTGAAATTTCGTATTTTTTTCACCAAATATCAATCAAGATATTATTATCATTTGCTTTCGTTATTCTTCAATTATTCTCGTGTATCTTAATATATCTGACATTTGTCTTATTGTCTGCAATTCTTTCATTTCTCGTACGCATTTTTCAGCTTTCTCTCAGCCTCCAGTGAAATATATTTAAAGCTCTCTTCTTTCTTTCAACCCTCTCCATTCTTCTTGATATCCAAATTTTCTTTCAATTAAAGACTCCGATTCCTCCGAGTCCTCTCCAATCACACTGTTTGCCTTCCTGATAGACCTGACCCACTCAGTTAGTGCAAGTAACCAGGAAAAAGGGTTTCCATATGCCTGGGTCAGTACCCAAAGGCGGCATACGAACCGGAGATGGCAATTGTTCAGTGTTATTTACAGTGATCTGAGAATGTTTGCCCTTTGACGAAATAATTGATTTGGACTCATTTATCAATTTCCCGATACTCAAGTTAAGATGAGACAAAATAATAGTCTCACTCATAAGATCCTTATTGCTTTATTGCTGTTATTCGATTTTCATATTATTGTTACAAAATGGGAGAATTTCAAAGCCTAAATTTGTTGAATTTCCTTCTATTTCCAAATTCACTCAGACAGGTAGTTTTTTTCAAAATTGGAATCACTCCAATTCGATTCTGATTTATTGTTTGCTCAATAGCTATGGTTGAAACATTCAATTTCTTGCTTACCACTGATACTGAGTATAGAGGGGTGCCAATAAAATGCACGAAATTATCCAGCTCCGTGCAGATGTTTGATGTTTCTTGTGAATTTATTCATAAGATACTGTCACGTCGGACATAGGGACAATTTTGAAAATTTTTTGTAGAACAGGATATGCATATTACCGATCATCTCAATTTTTAATTGACCAAAGAATTTTATCATAGATAAATTCACAAATATTTTATTGCATTCTTCGTGTGACATAGGTTTTGTAACTTTCTATGTAAAGTTAACAACTTTAATTGATGATCGAATATGGTGTTATTCAATGTTATATAATAATATGTTGGTATATACAGGGAATGGTGCCATAACATTGAATTAATAACAATAATTTGTCACCTCTTCGACACTTATCATTACCAAATTGAAATTTTATAATGTATCTGTTGTAACAGTTGTATAGGGTCTTTCACATAGTATGGGCCAACCCCTTATCTGGTAAACTATAGAGATACAAAAACAATTAAGAATCGGAGTTGTTTATATTTATATAAACTCTCTGTTTCTAGATCATGTCAACTATACAGAAAGATCCATTTGCCTGTGACATATCAAATATACGATTTTTCAAATGGAATACCGTAAATTCCATTTCCTCCTTGAGTAGACCTCAGAAAGACGAGTTCGATATTTATGATCACATGGATCTGGGATCACTCGTTTCCAACTTATCCAAATTTCAAAGCCCTTTAGAAACGTTGAGAATCAAGTTTTTGGATGAGTCCGAAACGGGTGTTCTCTGACATGATCGTTGAACTCGTCTTCCTGAGCTATATTCAAGGATAGAATGAAATACAGGGTGTTCTATTTGAACATTTCGAGACAATGTTGGGTTTGCAAAGTACGTCATCACTTTTGGCAGATTCAAAATTTCTAAATATTGATGAGATATCAAGATAACATATATAATTTGGTAATTCATGACGGAAACTGCACATCAAAAACTTAATTCTCAACGTTTCGATGGGGCTTCGAAATTTGGCAATTTATTGAAGAAGACGAGGGAGAAGAGCATGGATGAGTCCGAAACGGGTAATCTCAGACCCATGTTATCATGTATCATTGAACACACGTTTTTCGTATACATCTAAGGCATTCTGAGGAATCATCGACCATGAGACATCCTATATACAATGGCATTCAACAGAGGGAATAATATAGATACGATGTGATTTGCTTTCAAATTAATAATTTGGTACCGTGGTATGCAATGAGAAACTACGAACTATTGAAATTGGCTGAACTGACATGTTTCATTGCTATAATATCATCATTTCGATATTAATGAGGCTGAACAATCTTATAATTTCCGACACGACTCATTTGGATTCTACTAGAAATTCATAAATTGAAAGTTATTGTAGTAATCCTTTGACAAGCCGCAACTCACAGCGGCGGGTAAAATATTTTTTCGTTACCACAAATTGAAGCTGTTTTTGAATGAATTCTTGATTGTTCAAAAATTACCTATATACCCATTTTGGAACATGAGAGTATCGAATATCAGAAAGTTTCCAGACCACCCATGAGGCACCCATTGCTGGTTACTTGTTTTTAGTGGGTGTTCGCCAATAGCCCTATCGTCCCACATTTGAAATATGAATATAAAATTAAACTAAATCAGAGTTCTCAACAAAATAAAATTTGAGTATAACATTGAACTTAATGGAAATTCTCAACAATATTAAATAAAAAGGAAACATTGAACTTATGTAACAATGCCATATTTCATCAGTTTTAAATAATCAGTTTGATACAACATTATTCAGGTCATCAGCTTGAGAGACTCGAACCTCCTCAACAATATGAATAAAATAAGTACTATGGAAATGCTAATAATTTCGAATTTCTGATTGGTAGAGTTACTCTATGTAAGATACCCGTATATTCGAGATTATACAAGGTAACTTAGTAAATTGAACATTGTTCTGATTTGTTTAAGATCATATCCTCGTGATAATCGACAGAGGATTGCTTGATATTTTCGACAGACAACAACAATGCATTGTCAACAAATCCATTTTCATTGTCGGCGTGAAGGATTATAATTCTTTTGCCTCTCGAACTCGGACCACTCACATTACAGTTTTTGCTATCATCTACCCAACCGTCATCTAGATTATAGGTAGGGAAGCGAATATGCTTCACGGTATTCCTTTATTTTACTTAGATATTCTTGCCGATGGTCTACGATGGGTCTTGATTCCATAATCACCATCTTTTTGTCTAATTTCTTATGACCGAACCCGCAATCTAGTAAAACATTTCGCAACGTACTTAATGATTTGTAATTATAATCCGCGTATTCATTCAACTTATCCCTGATATCTGGCATTGTTGGCACCTCATTCTCGTTATGAA